GCTGCCTCATTTCGCCTGCACGATGCCACCATCTCTGAGCTGGGTGATGCTCTCTGCACTTTGTAGAAGAAGAAACTGAGACTCAGAGAGGGAAGTGACAAGCCCAGTCCTGCAGATAATGTGGCAGCACCAGAAAGGCACTGCAGGACTTCAGACCACTATCCAGGGGTAAGATTCAAGGGGTCAGGAAGCAGGGGATCAGACATCCCAGGAGCCTGGGGTGTTCCCCACAGGGTTCTCCAGCCCGTGACTGCATCCTGCCAGCCATGCCCCCAGGTGGATGCCCCACATGTCCCCTCCCCGTCTCTCTGACAGCATCCTTGTCTGCATAGCTCTCACCTCCACAACTGAACTCGTGCCTTGCTGACCCACACTTCCGTCTGTGTCATCCTCATAGCCCCCAGACAATCTTATAAACACAAATCAGGTGTGGTCCACTGCCCTCCTGGAAGGAAGCGGTGACCCAGTCAAAACCCAAACCTCCTATACTGGGTCCACACGAGACTAAGCTGGGAAACTTCCAGGGTGGGAACCCAGGAGAGCAGGAAAGCCTTCCCATTGGATGGTGAGACTGTGGAGAAGGAGGGGGAGCAGGAGAGGTGGGTGGGCAGGGTCCCACACTGTGGCCAGCCGTGAGAGGCATGGCCTGAGCGCCCACATGGTCCCTGAGGCCCGGAGCTCTCCGGGGCCTTCTCAGGGGCATCCTCCGGAGCCTTCCCTCAGCCCCGTGTGCTCACATCCCAGAGTCCATGCATACACTCTTCCTTCTGCTTAAAAAGTCTCCATCCAGCACTCTCCATGATTTAATCCTAAATCACTGGATGCCTAAGTGAGCAGTCCCAGGTCAAGCATCCCCAGAGGCCCCCAGTCTCTAGGGCTCCCCATTTTATCTGCTTCCAAGCACGTTCTACTGCTGAGCATTGTACTTTTTTACAGGTCCCCTCTCCAGACTGTAGCCTCTTCCTGGGCAGGGCCTTGCTCCCTGCAGTATCCCGGGTGACAGAAATTGCAGTCTTCACATGCAAGGTGCTCTGCAAACATTTGCTGACAGCCTGACTTCAGAGGGCAAACCTGGCCTGGTGAAAGGTCAAGTGCACCTTTCAAAGGCCATACCTGTTTCACACCAGGCCACAGCCAGTGTGTCCCAAAGGTGATGCTGACAAGGCTGACCCCACGAATAGGAGCCCAGGGAGCCACATCCCCTTCCGAGCAAGTAGGATGTGGTGCACAGTGGTACCTGGGGACAGTGGCAGGGAGGCTTGCAGACCTGACCCACCCAACCAGAAGGCATCCAGGAGTCAGTATGAGCTTCTGACTGGTTGATCAAATGGATAAAGAGGAGACCTTGAAGCTGGCCAGGGAGCCATCTGCCCTGCAAACCCCAAATTGCCTACTGAACACTGCCAGCAGCCATCAAAACAAATGCTGTATCCAGGATGTGGCTAAACTCAGGAATGTGGAATAATAGGAAATATCTGCAGCTCACTCCAACGGGAGCCAGACAATACGGCCTGAAGTAGGAAGGATTCTGAGGCAATTCCACAATCCACTAAAATCCAGCCGCGCTATTCCTCTCTGTCCAGGTTGGGAAGGTGGGCTGGCCCTGGCCTAACTATAAAATGTATGCATTGTTTTTTATTAAGACAAGGGGAAAAATAAAACGTATTTTTAGAAATGAATAGGGTTTTGTGTCTGTGGCCTTGGATCATGTGTTTTCCAGGAGACACGCTGGGGTAACAAAAAAAGGTAGGGTAGGGGACTCGATTCAAACATGCCCCCCAGGAACCTTGTGTGAGTGCCCGTCTTGTGACACCTCTGGAGGCTCAGTCTTCTCACCTGCCCAGGGCACAGTGAACATGCAGGGCCCTTACTCAGCAAAGCCTTAAGTAGTATGTGGGGTGCTTTTGAGCAGGGCCCCACATGCCTGCAGGGTCAGGTGTCCACACTGCTGTGAGATGAGCTGATGGCATTGATATTCCCATATCTCACAGGTTGTGCAGAAGATCAAGGAGTCACTCCCCGTCTCTCTGGCAGCATCCCTCTGTCCACACAGGTCTCACCTCCACAACTGAACTCGTGCCTTGCTGACCCACACTTCCGTCTGTGTCATTCTTCCCATAGCCCCCAGACAATCTTACAAACACAAATCAGGTGTGGTCCACTGCCCTCCTGAAAGGAAGCGGTGACCCAGTCAAAACCCAAACCTCCTATACTGGGCCCACATAAGACTAAGCTGGGAAACTTCCAGGGTGGGGACCCCGGGGAGCAGGAAAGCCTTCCCATTGGATGGTGAGACTGTAGAGAAGGGAGAGCAGGAGAGGTGGGTGATGCTCAGGACTACAGAGTCCGCCAGAAAGTCATTGGCCCAGCCCTCTGCCCGTGAGCACCAACAGGAGCAGGAATGACTTGATTACCTCCAGGAAGGAAAACCTAGGGCACATGGCCAGCTTCCCTGGCAGAAACCCATAGGGTGGTTTCAGAAGGAACGCCTAGCTCCCAAACACCAACTGGAGTCTGCCCTGAGATGGAAGGCGGGCACACAGCTGCCTGTAAAACATACCTGGCAGGTTGGCTTTGAACAGGGCATAAATGCAGCCTCCAGCCAGAGAACAAGCAGGGTGTCTGGTCCGGCAGGTTCTCCATAGGCCCCTCCTCTCCCTTGGCCTCAGCCACCCCTCAGTCTACCTGTGTGCCCTTTGGAGGACTCCTTAGGCCAAACTCCCTTCATAATCAGCAGTCCTGGCCCCCCATTTGAGTTGGGTTGGGTTTGCAGCCACACCTCTCAACAAAACATGTTTAACAGAGGCTGGAAAAGACCCTCCCCACTCTGGGGGTTACAATGTTAGTGACCCCCAAAGCAATGCAGCTGGCTGGCTTCCCAGAGCCGTCTGGAAGGTACACACACATCCACCCAGCCAGAGCCCAGTTTGGAGGTGAAGAGTCCTCAATCCACTGGCTTTGGCATGTCTGCCCTGTCACAGGGGCCAAGGAGATGGACAGAGAGTGAATCTCCTCAGCTCTCACTTCCTTCTTGGCTTAAAAATTCTAGTTTCAAATGTATGCACACTCTACCCCACTTCCTGCCCTGTTTTTCTAAGATTGAGTTTCCTCTATTAGGGAAACCCCAGTGTGACACAACTTGTCAGCTCTGTATGTCCTATTCCTTACCAGCCTAAAAACATCCCTCCCTTTAACTAGCTTAGCCAGAGGGAGCAGGACTGGGGATGCTCACTGTCACCTGGGCCCGAACTTTGTTTGTAAGTCCAACTAGCCAGAGGCTCTGAGTTAAAGGACTCGTGACCTGGCAGGTAAGGCTGTTATTATCAGCAGGTAAAGCTGTTATCATCAGATCAGATCGGCTGCCTCATCTGCAGGGCCCAGGGCACAGTGAACATGCAGGGGCCCTTCCTCAGCACTGCCTGCAGGGCCTGATGCCTGCATTGCTAGCCCTGCCTGTCATGATCCTCCCACACATGTGGCCCTGCTCTGAGACCCTCAGGGCATCTTCAGAGCATCCCAGGTCTCTGAGTGAGTGGAAGAACTTGTAATCTGGGTTTCACCCTGTATGAGGAAGGACAGGCTGCCACCCAGGCACAGGGCACGTCTCCACTTTCCAGGTCTCTTTCCCATGTTGTAGAATGTGTGAATGGACTTTGTGCCTCCACAATCCTGACTGTGGATACTTAGGGGAGAAGGGCACTAAACTACTGGGAATGTTTAGCTTTTTCATTAGGGAAAATCAAAAACCACCACTTCAGTAGTGGCCACCCAATAACATCACAAGGACCTGGGCTTCTTGATGACCCTGTAGTCAAGGAGAGAGCTGAAGTAGAAAACCCACCAGCAGCTCCCTCTGTGTGCCACCTACCCCCAGCTCCATGGGGGGCTCTCAGCCCCACCCTCCGCCCAATATCTGACTGTCAGTGTGAGTGACCTCCCAAGAAGACAAAAGATGCACCGGCCTCATGGCCACACTTTGCCTCGATGACCACCTTGGGGGCACTGCTGGGCCCATGAAGCAGCACCTGGCCTTGGCTTCCATCCTCTGCTCTGACCAGGGCTGCCAGGCAGGCTTCTCAGTCCTGCTGAGATTCCAGGCGTGGCTGTGGAAACTGCTGGAACCAGGGAGCCAGCTGCTGGTTTCTTGAACAGGTGGAGAGAAGGGCCTGGAATATGGACAAGAGAGTTCACCTGAGGACCCTACGCAGAGGACCCACAGCAGAGGCCTGTGGTGACCCCAGAATGGCAGGGACATTTTCTGACCAGATCATGAGGCCACTGTGGGGCCCACTCTCAGTGAGGACGCCTCAGGAGGAGCCGCTAAGTTAGGAAACCAAGTGCTGAGGCCCCGTTTCTGCTTTTGGTTCCTCATTTGATCACACAGTTTTGTTAGCAGGAAACTTCTCCAAGCATCTCTGGGAGTTCAAATGTAGAATTCATGAACTATGTGCCAAATGGCACTTTTCTTTTGGAGCATTTTCTAGAAGTACCCTTCCCCCTTCCCTGGGAAAGGTAAACATCTCCTGGGTTTTTGGGAAACCGGTTCCGAAAGCCGGGTCAGGGCATCCTTGGGGGAAGGGGAGCTCCGTGGCCTCCTGCCAGGAGAGGCCAGGGCTGAGGTGGGAGGCAGGAGGCATCGCCCCAGGGCCCAGGGTCCCAAGGATCCAAGGCTGGGCAGCGCGTCAGAGCCTACAGCCCCCATCCCGGGTACCCAGGGCCACGGAAAAGGAGTCACGTTTGACAATCTGGAACTCAGAAAGGTCACCAAGCCAGAGTGGCTAGTGACTGGTGGCTGCGGCGGTGGTCGACCCTGGGGTCGGGCTCTTTGACCTTCCTCCAGAGAGAGTTCAGGCGCCCAGGCCAGGGAGGGAGGTGCGGCCTGCGGCCCGGGAGGGGCGGGACAGGGTCACCCAGGCGGGGCGGGCGTGGGGGGATCAGCCCCGCCCCGGAGGTGTGTCCGAGCCTGGCCACCGCCTTTAAGGGGCCTAGGGTGCTGGGCGAGGCCGGAGCGGGCCGTCCCGGGGCGGGATCTGAGATTCGGAGCGGGATTCCGAGCGGCACCTGGCGCAGTATCTCGGATCCGGAGCGGGATCCGGAGCAGGCCTCGGCGCAGGAGCCATGGCGTCGTCCGGGCCGGGGCGGCCACTGATGCTGCTCGTGCTGCTGGCGGGAGCGGCGCAGGCCGGCCTCCCTTTCCGCCGGGGCTGCTACCTGCTCCCACCGGGGGACCAGCTGCTGCAGCTGGGACACAGGTGGGCGCCGGCGGGGACGGGAAGCCGTGGGGGGAGGGAAGGGATGGCCAAGTCCCCAGGCCTAGAGCGCTCGCCTGCCTTTTTGGAGCCCTGCACCTTGGACCTTGGAACGTCACACCCAGCCCCTTCGTTCGGGGGAGGGTCACTCCTGTTTCACATCCAGGGGGAACCCTGGTGTTTGTGGAGTTGGACGAGCCCCACCTTCCCAGCAAGCCAGGCCAGCCTCACCCCGTAGCCTTTGGGGCTTGTCCCCAGCGCCAGACTTTCTCGAGGCGCACTCTGCTTCCCTCCTTCACGTGCGACCGGCGTCTCACATCTCTCACCTGGTGGCTGCCGCACTCACACTCACTCCCTCACTTTTTGGGGAAAGAGAGAAGGGTCTAAGAAGGGCTGCCTTTGCCCAGGCCCCATCGGAGGGGAACTCTGGTTGCCCAGTGAGACCCAGCGCTATTTGGGTGGTGTTGGTCTCTCCCCAGGACATACCCGCGGCCTCACGAGTACCTGTCCACATCGCATCTGCCCAAGAGCTGGGACTGGCGCAATGTGAACGGTGTCAACTATGTCAGCATCACCAGGAACCAGCACATCCCTCAGTACTGTGGCTCCTGCTGGGCCCATGCCAGCACCAGTGCCATGGCAGGTAGGTAGCAGACAGCGCCAGGGTTCCAGGAGCCTGTGATTCTGCCCAGGGGCCAGCCTGGGCGGGTGGTGCCTGTACCTCTCCAGCCTGGAGGAGCCAGCCTTCGCCCTTTGCCGAACAGACCCCAAGCTGCCTCATTCTGGGGATTTCCAACAGGACTGTCGGGGATCTTTGGTTGACTGAGGCCCAGTGAGAAGTGTTTCCCAGGTGCCCTCTCTGCCCCAAAGGTTGTGACCTTAGCCGCTGGGCTAGAACCAGAAATGCAGAATTATTGAGCTCCCAGCCTGTATCTGGGGACACAGAAGTGAAAGCAGCCACTATTTGAGATGAATGCTCATCCTGGGCTCAGACTGTCTTGGTGAGGCTAGCCGGCTGTGGCCCAAGGGCTCACCTGGTTGCTCCTCCCAGCCTGGCACTTTTCTCATCTGGACCTTAGACTTCTGGCTGCAGTTGAGGGAGGAAGGCTTACAGGAATGAGGGAGGGTGAGTGGGCAGCCACCCAGCCCCAGACTTGCCCCTGGGCATTTGGAAGGCACCCTGCCCTCTCCAGCCCTGGGGCCCTAGAAGTCTGGAATTCCCCTGGTAAAGGGATTCACTCTGGCTGGGAGTTTGGTCCCAGGAGGGCTGGGTGCCATTGCCTCCTCTCCTGGCCTGTTGTGTACCATCTGTGTTGGAGGGATCCACATGGTGGCCCTGCCACCTGTGGGGCTGGCAGCAAGACCTTCCAGCTGCCATGATTGCTCTCAATTTGCAGATGAGGAAACAGAGGCTCTTTGCAGGAGACTTGGCCACGATGTAGGTGACAGCTGAGATTTGAACCCAGAAGCCTGGGCTTTGGGCCAGGACCCCTGCTGGGCTCTGTCTTTTGGATGAGGAATTCTTGCTAGGGTCTAGACCCCCAATTCTTGGTTGGCTGACTTAGACTGTGGCATCTGGTGAAGTCTCCTGGTGGGCCAGCCCTGTCCCTCTTGGGGGTCTAAGGGCTAGAGCATACTTCAGACTGGGGTGGAGATGGAGAATGCAGAGCCCAGGCCTTACCCACAGAAAGGTCTGGAGACCTCGGCCAGGCAGGGTGTGGGCAGGCCTGCAGCTGGAGGCTGGGGCAAAGTCCTGGGAGAGGGTGGGATGGCCCCACTGAGGAAGTGAAAGAGGCCTTCGAGGCCCAGTGGGAGGGTAGGGTGAGGGTAAGGAAAGAACAATTGGAAAGGGAAGCCTTGACTTATCTTCGAGAGGGAGTCAGGTGACAAGATTTACATTTGTCAAGGACTGCAGGGTTGGGAGGAAGTGGCTATAGTTGGCTTGCCTGCTGTCTGATGAGTGCTAGGCACTGGCCCGGGGGTCAGCCCCCACATTTTGTGAGTGGACTCTTCCTTCTCTTTCTCCTTAAACCTCTGTAGTCTCTGGCCCTTGCTTCCTCTTTAACTGAGAAAAGAGAAGCCACCAGCAGGGGAATTCCAAGAGGCTTGACCCCTTTGCCAGCTAGCACAGCTGGCCCAGTGTGCCTTCCCTCCTGTCCCTGGGGACCAAGGGTCCCGGCCCCTCACTGAGACTGCACTCCTACCAACCCCAACGTCAACCCTGCCGACTTCTCAGCCCCTCAGGGGTACCTGGAGCTCATCTATTTCCTCTTCTAATGCAGGTAGGAGTGGCCAGTGCAGCCCAGGTCCCCTCCTGGGATTCTGCTTATTCTCAGGGATGTAGGTCAGCCAGCCCTAGGTGGGGGCCATGTCAGCCCTCGGATGCCCCTCAGGGTGTGTGAGCCCAGGTGTGGCGGGGGTAGCTGCCCAGTTCCCTCAGGGGCTAGGTTCCTGCTGCCTTCCCCACCCCTTTGGACTTCACCTGCCCCCTCTGGGGCCAATATGGCTCCCTGGGTAGCACTGGTTCACAGAGCTGCCCCCTGCCCCCTCCTCATTGAGGCAGGGACTGTGTCTCTCCTGGCTCTGTGTCGGTGGGCACAGGTGGTGGAGTTGTCCTTCTTGCAGGACTGGACTGCATCAACAGCACTACCCTGGCTCTGCCCTTACGGCATTTGCAGTTGGGGGTGTGGGCAGACAGGACAGTGCCCAAGGAGAACCAGGAAAGACCTCTCTGAAGAGCAAGGGCTGAGCTGAGACCTCTAAGAAGAGGTCAGCACTGGGGAGGCCCCTCCAGAGAGGGACGCAGGTGGGCAGTGGGTGCTGACAGTAGCGCTAACTGTTGCAGATCGCATCAACATCAAGAGGAAGGGTGCGTGGCCCTCCACCCTGCTGTCGGTTCAGCACGTCCTTGACTGTGGCGACGCCGGCTCCTGCGAGGGCGGAAACGACCTGCCAGTGTGGGCGTATGCCCACCGACACGGCATCCCAGACGAGACCTGCAACAACTACCAGGCCAAGGACCAGGGTAGGCTGCTGCCCAGGTCCCACACTCTGCCCTCTGCCTCCTCTTTCTAGGGAAGGGTGGCCACGAGCCCCATGTGGATCTGACTGTATGTTCCTCACACTTGGCTGGGGTGCCACGGGGGCAGGGGGTGTATAGGGATTGCAGCCCCCAAGAGCTGGTGCCCCTGACCGTCAGGGGTGGTGTCCCCAGGCCAGCCTCCTGCAGAAGCCCCCTCTGCCACCTTGTCGAGAAGACCATCAAAACAGCCTGGCGTAGGAAGGTTCTGGTGGGCACCCATCACGCCCATGTGTTCAGCCTTGTGGAAGGGCCCTGGCAGAGGGGCCTGGATGTGGAATTTGGGTTCTGATGTGTTGGCATTTGGGGAGTTTTATGAGCCATTACAGGGGAGAGGCACAGGTGGGCTTTGTAGAGGGAAGAGTCAGTTTTCCAGAAATGTTGGTGCCAAGGCAGTGCTACAAGCTAGAAGCCAAAGGACCGTAGCTTTGAGTCCTGGATGTGGCCTGGTTCTACTCTGGCCATCCTGGACCCAGCCACACACATCCACATGTGGCTGGAGCTGAGGGGGATGCTATAGAGAACAGTAGACCCCAGCTTGCCTGGGGTCCCTGTGGTTGGCACATTCTTTTCAGGCTACTCTCCTTGGAAACCTAAAGAAAGAAAAGTCTGGACCCCAAACCCATGATTAGCAGTTTTCAGCCACCTCTCAGCCAGAGCAGAGAGCTGGGGCAACTCAAAAGGCCATGTGAGACAGTAGGGAACAGGAAAGGGAGGGGGCCCTGTGCTTTGCCACCCCATGCCTCCTGCCAGTCTAGAATGGTTGGCTCCAGCAGTTGTGCCTTCTGAGGCGGGAGAAGGTGCTCTACGCGCACCACCTCATGCTCAAGGACAGGGCTCCCTGGCCTTGCTCCCTGGGCCTTATTGTTCAGCCAGAGAGAATTCTCCTAGATTGGTGTTGAGTCCTGTTGAAGTGGCAACCCCAGCAGGGGTCAGAGACCCAGAAGAGGGAAGGATGCCACGGATGAGAAAAGGCCAGACTGCACTGGAGTCAGGTGGTCCCTGGGGCCATGCCACCCCTCCATCCCAGACTGGCTTGTGCAGTCAAGCCAGACCCCATGGCCCACCTGGCCTGAGAGCTGACAGAGCCCCTCAGAAGCTGATGGTTTGCAATAGTCATTCCTTTGTAGTAGGGGCGAAGGGAGCCTCAGAGCTGTCATTTTCCTGTTGTGCTGGACACTGAGCCTTTGGTGTCTAAGAACAAATTAAGTCAACAATTTAATCCTCTTTACTGTCCTAGGGGGTAAGCATTTGGACAGATGTGTAACTGAAACAGAAATAGGCAACTGGGAAGCGGGAAGAAGGCGGCTGAGGGTGGCTGGCGGGCCGGGATGTGCCGCCAGTGAGAACGTGCGAGTGACTGAGTCTTGCAGAGTTCAGAGCTGCACTTTTTGTTTTCCTTTTGTTTTTCTGAAGCCTAATTCTTGATACCTCTCAAACCAAAAACAAGAGCATGCTTTTTATTTTTAACTAAATATATTGGGCTATTTATTCGCTAGCCAGCAATAGAATCATCTTAAGTGCCAATAATTTGATTATGCTCAATTTTCAGCTATAAAGTATTATGAAAATGTCCTTCTCCCAGCCTTTCCCAGGAAAAAAGGCTAACTTTTGAGCACCTACTATGTGCTAATTAATGTTTGTCTTTTCTTTTTTGCCAAGGCCTGGGGAGGGCTTATTTATTCTTGTTTTATTAGGTTTCCACGTTTTGCCTTCACAAAATTAAAAAGGGTTAAAATTTAATAACAATAATAATGTTTAAGATAAGGATGGGGGGGATGGCGCCTGTGGCTCAAAAGGGTAAGGCGCCAGCCCCATATGCTGGAGGTGGCAGGTTCAAACCCAGCCCCAGCCAAAAAAAAAAAAAAAGCAAGGATAAGCTAGAAACAAAAACCTCATAAAGAACGAATGAAGATAAATACAGTCAGGAAAGAAATCAGACAGTTGTTGCATCAAAATATTAAGCATTAATAATAATAATGCAAAGAAAGTAACATTCACATTGTCAAAGAAGAGTATGTCTATTATAGAATGCTTTGACTCTGAGGTTCATATGGAGTCATCAGTTAACTTATTTTTTTTTTTTTTTTCGGCCAGGGCTGGGTTTGAACCCACCACCCTCAGCATATGGGGCTGGCACCCTACTCCTTGAGCCACAGGCACTGCCCCTTATTTCCCCCCTTCCCCCAAAAAAAGCCCTTGGGGAAGGTTTTTAATAACTCCTTTGCAGCTGAAAGAACATAATTAAACGGCACCTAGCAGCAACATGGTTTGTGTTATTAGCTAATGGATGGTAAGTTAAGTGAGAAAAGTGAGAGTGGATCTGGGCACGCTTGTTCCTCGGCTAATCAAGAGACAGTCTCTTGCTGACTTTTCCTACTGTCCCCTAGAGTGTAACAAGTTTAACCAATGCGGGACATGCACTGAATTCAAAGAATGCCATGCCATCCAGAACTACACCCTCTGGAAAGTGGGCGACTACGGCTCCCTCTCTGGGCGGGAGAAGATGATGGCTGAAATCTATGCAAACGGACCCATCAGGTGAGGAGTCCCAGCAGTGAGGCTTTGCCAGGGTGCGTGCAGGTGGGCATGTGGATTTTCACCCCTTGGCCAACTTCATTCATGGGCTTGAGACACAGCGGCCACATTATTTCATTTCTTAGAACTTCAGTTTTCTCACAAGTAAAACCAATGACCAATAACTGAGCTTGTAAGTAATCTGCCCATAGTGAGTGCTGTGGTGCTGGTGGACTGTTTCCACAGGGAAGACACGATATAACAATTTACTTGCCCAATTTGCCCAGAATCATCTGATACCCATTATCTGTGTCTGTAATGTAAGACTGTTTCTAATGAAGGTAGATTCTCTGTTTAGGGCAGTAATTCTTTTTAACTGTTTGTCCACAGCTGTGGCATAATGGCCACAGAGAAGATGGTCAGGTACACCGGGGGCATCTATGCTGAGTACCAAGAGAACCCTGAAATAAACCATGTCGTTTCCGTGGCTGGATGGGGTATCAGCAATGGGACTGAATACTGGATTGTCCGGAATTCATGGGGTGAACCATGGGTAAGATGTTTTCACTCTCTTCAGGTCATAAGAATTGCTATTTCTCTCATTTGAATGGTTCTGTTGACTTTCAGCTAAAAGCACAAGGGTTATTTGCTCCAGCTCAGAGTCTCAGCCATGGCACAAGTGACTTTTGGGGCTGCATCCTCTGGTGCATGCAAACCGTCACTCTGTGTACTGTGGGGTGTTTAGCAGCAACCCTGGCCCTTGTAGCCACTAGACACTCCCACCCAACCTCCCACATAACCAACCCAAACTCTAAACGTTGCGAGAGCTTCCTGGAGAAACCACTGGTCAAGCAGCACTGAGAAGGGTGCAAGTTCTCTGCCTCCTTCCTGCATAACTGCCCCACTTTCTCCTGTCACAGCCTCGGGCTCCCATGGTAAAACAATGTAGGGGAAAATTTTGAGTTTAGTTAAATCCACTGCCACAGCCTTAATTTTTGAGACTTAGTATTATTCATTAATATCTAAGACATAGACATTTAACTATTACAAAATGGGGGTAAATAGTTAACGTGAAAGTGATGAAATGCCAATTGTCTTTACCGGATGTTACAAATGGGATATCACTAGATGGGTAAGTTATTAGGTCTAGAGTCAACATTTTTTGTTACGTTAATTAGCTTTTGGCATAGAGGGCCCTTATGTTAAATGTTAACCAAGTGAAATGATTCACGAAAGGTATTTCCAAGTAGAGGTCATGGGAAGGGTAAAGGGTGGCTGCCCATCCTCCAAGGCTGGGCTGGGGGTTGGGAGCAAACAGCAGGGTCTGTGTCCTGAGAGGAGGAGGAACTGCGTGCTGTGACCATCTCACTTCTACCCACAGGGTGAGAGAGGCTGGATGAAGATAGTGACCAGCACCTACAAGGGAGGGCAGGGCGCCAGTTACAACCTTGCTATCGAGAACTCTTGTACATTCGGGGATCCCATTGTTTAAGGTGACGTCCCTGGAAAAGCAGTGTTTTCAGAAATGGTATCATGAACCACGACCAGAGGGGATCCTATCGCACCAGGCTGACTGAAAGAAACTGAGGCTGAACGTCAATACTGAACAGCTGGGAAGGTTCTGGATACCTGGAAGGGGCACCTGCCAACGTGAGGATGAGGGTCCTGGCTGAAAGAGCATTCCTGAAAAGAGCTGAAGTGGGAGGCCTTGAACACTATACAGCGACTGTTGCCGGCCACCTAGTGAGGAAGTGATCCACAGGACAAGAAATCTCAGACCTCAGCGTAAAAGAGTTCAAATGTAGCACCAGTTCTTATGTCTTTGGAATCAGTGGGGGAGGGGGGACTGTCAACGTGATGAATAAAAGACCCAGCTTCACACTGGACTAGCCTGAGTGAGCCTCATTCACACACAAAAACAACAGAGCATCAGCACCTACAACCCATCAGAAGCCTTTTAAAAAATTTATTGTTCTTAGCAAATTAAAATAATGATGAAACCAACTAACAGATTCTTGTGAGAAAACTCAGGTCACCTTTGAAAGTGGTTCAGGGCAAGGTGTCAGTTTCCGAGTTCCCACCAGCTGGGTCCACCCTGAGAGGTAACAGAGCCAGTCCCTTGAAGATTCAGGGGCAGTACTAGGCAGTACTGGGCCTAACACAGAGAGGAGAGGTGTTGCCTCTCTCCTCCTTTTAGCATTTCCCTTGTAATGCTAAAACCGTCCTTTTTAAAACAGTTACCCACCTCCTCCCAGCAGAACCCATTTCCAAGATGCTGACTTAAAACAACAGCTTCTGGGAAAGGTTTTTCCACAACTGATCTGGAATGTTCTGCTTCAGCTCTGCAGGATGCTCCAAATTAGTTCATCATGATGAAGTTAGATTTGCAATGAGCTTTAAGAGAAAGAAAACAGATATCGGGTTAGAAGTAGGAGGTAAAAAATGACATTTACTGCTGTAGCAAAGACACTTTTATCAGCCTTACCTATGAATTCTGTCACAGGGTCGTGTTCACCTTCTGTCTTAATGGTGCCTGCAATGCTATCATTTTCCAAGATTGGGAGGAAAAGCTGTACAAAGTCAGAGGTGTAGGGAGGAGCGATAACATCCAGCACCTGCGGGGACAGCACAGGGTCACCCTGCCACACAGCCTGTGGGGGTGCTGTGCAATGTTCTGGGGAAATGCAATCAGTTGAGAGAAAACACACCCCGGCCCCCAGCTTCCCTAGTGACACCACCAGTGTCCAACATAAGATACTTAGGGTGGCAATGTAGGTAAAACACATAATATAGTTCCTGCAGGTGGTTAGTAAACTGGTTATCTGTTATTGACATCACCAAGATTATCTATCAGAAAGCAGTTCTCAGAGTTCGGTACAAAATGAACTAAATCAAGCAAAAAGGGCAGTGCTAGCGTAAACAGTGTGAAACATGAAACCAACAGTGCATTGCTGACCTCAGTGACAAAATAGCGAATGAGTGAAATGTCAGTGTCCAGCTTCTCCAGACACTTTCGGATGTAACTGACAACAGGAAGTACATAACCTCGACTCAGCAGGTGAACCATCCTGTCCAGCAGGGTCTTCTTCAACTCCAGCTATGGAAGAGGGCAGAGGGGCTGGTTAGGACGGCATCTACCCCCAGACCCCAGTGAGCCCCAGGGCTGCTGCTCACCTGCTCCATCACGTCCAGCTGGGAGTGCTCAGTCTCAAAGAGCTTAACAAGCAGCTGGAGGACCTGGGGATGCAGGAGCTGGTGGCAGGTGCTGATCTACAAACATGTCACAGAAAGGCTCGCTGAGCAGTGCGGTCACTCTCAGGACACAGAACCACTGTCACTGTCACAGCTGCCAGACAGCTTACTGCTGACAAGGTCAGTCCTGGACCCTTAACCAGGGCCCTGCCAGCTTCTATGCCATGCCCCATACTTCCAGTAACACTTGGTAAAAACTGAGAAATCTATGCAGTCAACGAAACATGATCCTTAGAAAGGAAAATCCTCATTTAGGAAAGAAATTACTATTTTTGAAAAGAGTATCCTCTGAACTCCCTGAGCAGACGCAATGGAATTGCCAAAATAAACAGCCCTTCCGCCCCCCTCACCTCGTCCAGCAGCGCCAGGTGCACTGGTGTGTGGTCTGTCTGCAGCTGAAAGTACCTTGGCTCTGATACAGTCCAGTCCACCCATTTCAGCACACCCATTGCCACCACTGGAAACCTGCAGGCAGACAAGGCACAGTGCTTTCCTTAAGAAAATACCAAGATGCTCTAGGAAAGCATTAAGGGCTGGGACATTTAAAGGAACTCAGCCCCATCAATCCACCCCGCACCACACTCTGCCAGGGCCGCTTGTTCACAGACACTCTGATGAGACTCGCAGTGCGAGGAGCAGAGTTCAGTTCTCAGCTCACCATAAACCATTTTCCTTAAAAGGAAAGGAGTATTAATGTGAAACGGAGTTTGGTGGACTCCCTGTTAAAGTGAACCTTTATTAAAGTTTACCTTTATTCAGCAAACCCTTTCTTCACCCCCAGTACAAATTAATAGGGGAAAGATTTAAATGCCTCAGAGGACACACTCGTTCTAGGATACATCTATTTATATAATTAGCATGATCACAAATCATTTCTATCCAAGCAAGATTTTGTTAGGATAACTTTTACTACAAATAGACACTTTTCATAAAATTAATTTGTGTATTTCTGGCCAGTCTTTCTTTACTTAGTCTAATTTGTGAGGATTTACGGAACAGACTTCTGGCAAATAAACACCTGAAAATTACTCATGCTGCTAAAATTGTTTAAAATTCTCTACATACATTTTTTTTAAAAAGAAATGAATAAGTATCTCAAAAGCTTTTACTATTTGAGCTTTTACTATGAAAACTCAAACCACTGCCTCCCCAAAGAATTAAGTTTAGAAATGTTTCAGTCTCCTTACCTAATACACTGGTAAAGTGTACTCAATTCTGCCACTAGTTCAGAGGCCCCTTTGTTTTCATTGCAACACAAATTGTGAACAGTTTCAACGGCTTTTGATGTTGATTTCAGCTCATCTTTATTGATGCTCACTCGCTTGTTCTGAAAAGACACAGGTGACAAACCTTAACGGAGCACACGTCCCTCCTGTCAGAGTATTCCGGTATCTGCCACTTCTCTCGGCAAATCACTTCCCCTATTTCTCAAGTTGAAAGTTAATTTAATTGTCAAACTTTACAATCACACAGTGTATAGAAACTCAAAACCAACAAGACTGTAGTGCGTAGCTTATGGAAATTAGTTTCATTTCTTTGGTCACACTTCCAATTACAGTTTACAGAAAAGTATAGACTGTTCTGAGATGTCTTCTTGAGATGTTTAGCACTGTCACTATTTTATGCACAAACAGTAGAAAAGACATTCTGTTCACTAGACAGGCTCAAGATTTCTTGTAACAAAATTCCCAAATAATACCAGAGCAGAGGAGGACACCATTCTCCTAAAAGCCCACAGCTTTTAGGTATCTCAGCATCGATAGTACCTTACCTTTTTCCAGGTCTCAACCACACTTGCTGCATAAGCCAAGATGTGGATGTATTTGTGCTTGTGGTCCTGGTTGATCCTAGCCCCTGGCTTAAAGAGCGACTGCATGAATAAGTCTAGGAAGGCTGGCACCCGGATCTGCGGAAACACACGTGGCACAGGGTGGCAGGAGCTGGCAGGCTCAGTCACATATACCCTGAAGGGCTCTTGAGGCAGCAGGGGCTCTAACGTGTTTCAAGGGTCAGTGTGATAAGGAAGGACCAGGAAAAGGAATGGAAACATCTCAACAGGAATCTGCATTCACTGACTGACGAGAATCAGATAAACAGACTTTCCAAAGCAACCCACCCAGTTGGCCGTGGGGGCATCCCATCTTACTAACATGAGAAACTTACCAGTTCCACCGGGGGCGGGTCCATGCTTGTGAACATCTTGAAGAGCACAGTGATGTCAGCAGGGTTCAGGGCGCCTTTGGATAACATGGCCCCGAGGGCCTGACAGGCCCGGGGGTAGGAGGCGGCTGTGCCTAAGGCTAGTGTGATCTGACTGGCATCGTGACCTCTTGATGGGAAAAACCACATATCTGATCATTAACAAGGCGGCATTTTCTTCTTTCTTTTTCTTTTCTTATTTACATTTAATGCTTTGGATTGTTCAGATCCCTTTGTTTCCCATGTTTCTGTCATCCATTGGTATATTGACCCATGAAAAGAACATTGAGACAAACTAGATAAGAATAATTCAAATATACCTGGCTAACTCTATAAAAAGAATCACAAACTTTTTAAGTACCTTATTAAGCATCTATTAATAGTAGAAAATAAAGCTATTAAGAGCTCATTTTGCTCTGTAAGACGCGCCTGACAATGTGACACCTGGATTACTGAGCAGCAGCTACTTCAGGGCTGCCACTGCTGTAAGTGAGCCCCACGCTAAGAAAGCACAGTCCACAAACCCAGCAGACTGACAGTAACCCAGTACTTCACCAGACAGCCATCAAAGCAACACTGCAGAAAGCAGGCCCTCCATGTGTTCACAACCACTCTGGTTGTCCAGCTCTACTGGATAAAAGGAAGTTTGCTTATGTGTCAAAACACAAGGGGCTAGAAGCCTTGGCTATGGAACGAGGGTCATGGGAGGGATTCTGAGGGGAGCACTGCGGGACAGGGCAACAGAAACAGGGACTCACTTTTCCTGGGCAAAGCGCTGCACCTCCTGAGCAATCCTGCGCACGGCAGAGCCCCCCTGCTCCTCCTGGGCCAGCACGGACATCATGGCCTGGGCAAACAGGTACGTGTGCTCCCCATGACACACCATCTTCTGCAAGATTGCAGAGAGAGGGGCTGTGTCACTGCCTCAGCACTGACAAGTGCACCAGGGCCAAACTTCAGCAGCTCTGAGGCAGAGACGTCACCCTGGAAGGCGCCTTCTGAAATGGAGGCTCTTTGAAGCAGCGCCGCGAGCATTTTTAAAGATCACTAATTAAACTTTTTTAAGAGAGGTTCAAAGCATAGTGAGTATATTCTTTTTTTTTTACTCTTTTCTTTGATCAACATAATTTAAGCATGCTGCAGAAGTTTAACTATAGGTTCAAGCGTGCCAGGACATAGAAGAGGCTGAAAAACACTGCCCTAAGGCCCTACGGCAGCGGTTCTCAACCTGTGGGTCGTGGCATTAGGAAGGTTGAGAAGCACTGCCCTCCAGAAAAGGCGTCATTAGTGCTTGAAGGTGCAAGACCCAGACAGCCCCTTCCCATGTGAAATTCACACAGTAGGGCACTTACAGCAAACTCAGGGAGATTTTTTTCCAGGTTTTCTTCTCCTCCATCTAAAATTGTAGCTAGAGAGGTCCGAAGTACTCTAGA